CCTCTGAAGAACTCATCCAAAAGATATACCGTTTCTCTGCTTTCTCTGCGGTGGTGCCCCATCTATGGAATGCGCTCCCCAGAAAGGCCCGCCTGGCGCCGTTGTTATTTGTTTTTCAGCACCAGGTTAAGACCTTTTATTCCAGCAATATTTTAATAAGTTTTAATGTTGCCTTTTCTATGTTTTTAATTGCAGCCAGTGTGGGTCGGGAATTTATGTTATATCTTATGCTGTAAGCTGTTCTGAGGCTTTTTGTGAACAGGACGGCATATAAATATTTTAAATAAATAAATAAATAAATACTAGCCAAAATGTATTAGTTAGGGGTCGGTGTGTGTATTAAAGGAGAGCCAAGAGAATTCTTGTCAAGGATAAAGGACTGGGCAGATATAGACAATTTTTGAGGCCCAGAAGTCCATTGACTCCATCAAGCTCTCACCCAATCAAGCAGCGGCAGCAGCAACCCAATTCTTTGGTTATGTGTGAGGGAGTACCAGAATCTCTTCTATTATCCCTCACACTCCCCACCAGTAGTCGCAGAGGGCAGCTTTGAGCAAGGAGGGGAGCTGTGCTTTGCACAAGCTCTGCTCTGCTCTGCTCTCCCTCGCTCTCTCCCTCCCCCAAAATCCAGAGAAAACAGGTATGCTGGGGTGGAACAATCAAAAGGGCATTACCGTATATTTGGACTGCCGGGACTGTCAGGAAATGGGCAGACAAAGTGACTGCAAGAACCTGAAAAGGACAGAATGCTCCTGCGATACTGCCATTCGGGGAAGTATTGGGAGAATCAGGTGTGCCAGAAACTTGGACTAAATGGAAAAGGTGAAAGAGAAAGGTGAAGCAGAAGGACGGCCGCAGGCACTCGTTTCCATCCTCATGCAGTTGCATTAACCAGGGAGGACCAGGGTGGATGCCCCGTCCCATGACTGGAAGGGAACCATCCCATCAGCATTCCTGTCCATTTTTTCCCGAGGCATCCAATGATATTTAATGCCGCATGTGGGTGCGAATTAAAAAACTGCTTTAGCCACTGAAACGGTCTTACTTTTTTATATTGGAAATTTCATGCTTGTTTTACTGTACTGGGGCTTCGCCTGCCCAGAGAGCAGTAGAGGAATGAAGTAAAACACGCAAGCGAGCAAATGTTCGCTCTCCAAGCGAACTACAAAACTGAAGAACAGTTCTACTCCTTTGCAAGGATGCGCCCCCGTTATGATGCCAGGTCTCTTTTGCACGGTGGGAAAATATATCAGTGCAACTCCAATGTGGGGGATCAGCAGCTTCCAAGCTGGAACAAAGTTAACCAGGTGTTATAAGTGAGAGTCCTGGGGGTGGGGGTGGGGGTGTTCAGCCATTGCTTCACAGAAAGCTGCGGATCGGATCACTGCGAAAGAAAGCACACTGACGTTTCAGTGCTGCCTCCACTTCCCTCTCCATTATGTTTTGTGCTATTTTCCTTTGCTGTTGTGCAGATTTGGCTCTCTGGTAAAACAGGGACAAAGTAAAGAGGTGGGAAGTGCAGCCAAGAGGCCAGGCAGGAGTTCTGTTGAGTCATCCAGCGTGGCACGGGGCCTATTCTTACAGTCTGCAGGAAAGGAAACTTTTTAACCTCGTAGGAACACATTTCTGATGCTTATATAAGAACAATTACAGGAGAGCCACTGTGAAGCCTTCCACTCGCTCATCTGCAGACTCGCTTTGAATTCCGTCTTTCTATCATTAGCCTCCATGGAAAAGGGAACAGATGCCGAGAAGGTATTTGAGACAGCCGAGTCTGTCTAGAGTGGAGCTGAAGGGGCTCAGCCTTGAGTGAACCTATTGTTACGCTTTAGTATCCAACCAATAGGCAGGGCAGTCAATGCAATTTAAAAGGACAGGCAGCATGGCTCTTTGGGGGGCTGTCAGGGGCTTCTTGTATTCATTTTCTTCTTTGCAAATAATGCAGCGTTTGAATAGAAGGTGGGGGAAGAGAACGAAACCTCCATTTCTCCCTTCAACCCCATCAAGGGTTGGAATCTTAGTCTGCATTTATAAATGGGATATAAATCAGCATGTGCAGGTTTGTGTCCTGTAATGGCCCCTGAACCTTTGCAGAACTTCCACTGCCTGGCATCTTTCGGCTGTGCCCTGCTGGAGACAAGATGATGAACGAAGTGGAGCACTCGTCTGTCGTGAATTCGCCATCAAGTTACAGGGTTTGTCAAGCAGATACGACGGACGGAAAAATATGAGTCCACACAACTGGGATACAGAAAGAAAATGTGCTTTTAAATGATGCCTCTTGGACACAATGGCTCATGGGCTGTTGCGGTGTAATGTTTCTGACTGCATTTAAGATGCAGCAAGAAACAGTTTGAATGATGATTTAAGTGCACAATGAGCGAGCGCTACTAATCTCAGCAGGCCGAGGAAAGAGTCGGGTTGTCATTAGCCTCTTGTTTTATGGAGCTGAATGCTCAAGATTCGTACAGAATGCGTTCAGGCAGCCTTATTAGATTGGAATAGAAAATCTCGCACTCGCACAGAAGTAAAATGAAAGAAAAAAAATGACGGTCTTCTTAACTTCTCCAAGCTTGTTCGGTTGTGCCTGCCAAGAGTGGTGGCTCCTGGATTCCCAGATCTCAGATATGAAACCTCCCACTCTGAATCCAACTTTTGATAATATCCTTCAACAGGATTTGGGCAAGGTGTTAGAGCAGGTGGTGGGCGGGCAGCTTCAGGACTCTTGGAGGATACGGATTACCTGGATCCATTTCAGTCGGGCTTTAGGCTGGGTTTGGAATGGAGATGGCCTTTCGCCCTCCATGATGACCTGTGCAGGGAGAGGGACAGGGGGAGTGCGAACCCGTTGGCTCTCCTTGACCTCTAAGCAGCCTTTGACACCATTGACCATGGTGTCCTTCTGGACAGGTTGGCTGGTGTTGGGGTTGGAGGCAGTGCTTTGCAGTGGTTGCACTCCTACCTGGCTGGCTGAGTCCAGAAGGCAGTTCTGGGGGACTGCTGCTCTGCACCATGGCATTTGCATCATGGGGTACACCACAGGGCCCAGTGTTGCCCCCCATGCTTTTTAACGTCTATATGAAGCCACTGGGAAAGGTTATCCGGAGGTTTGGGCTGAGGACTCAGCAATATGCTGGGGATACTCAGCTCTACCTCTCTTTTACATCTCACCCAGGGGAGGCTGTCACCGTCTTGAACCGGGGCCTGAGCTCAATAATGCACTGGATGAGGGTCAGTAAACTGAGGCTCAGTAAACTGAGGCTCAATCCTGACAAGACACAGGTACTGCTAGTAGGGGGGTCACCTGATAAATTGGAGGGGAATTGCCCTGTCCTTGATGGGGTTGTACTCCCCCTAAGGGAAAGGGAAAGGGGGTGCTCCTGGACCTGGGTTTGTCCCTAGAATGTCAGGTGAGCTCGGTGCCCAGCGGTGCTTTCCTCCAGCTGTGGAAGATACACTAGCTTTGTCCCTGCCTGCACAGACAGAGCCTGAAAACAGTCACCCATGCGCTGGAAACATCCAACATAGATTACTGTACTGCGCTGTGTGGGGCTGCCCTTGAAGATGGTCCAGCAATTACAACTGGTGACGGGAGCCCTAGAGCGACCCACATAAAGCCTATCCTGAAAGATCTCCATTGGCTGCCAATTGTGGCCCCAGCCCAATTCAAGGTGCTTGTGTTGGCAGATAAAGCCCGAAACGGCTCAGGCCCCCGTTATCTTAGGGAGCTCCTGCGCCCGTATGTGCCCACCCAGCCTCCTGTGAGAGCCATCCCTTAAGGAGGGGAGAGGGACTGGTGTATTCACTAAGATGGCTCATCTCATACCCTGCACTGGACTCCGTTCAGTGAAAGCCACTACTTCCCTGCTTGTCCCATCATACTTACAGATGACACAGGTGGCCCCAGGCACTGATTTCAGATAACCCCCCTCCCCCCGGTTTACTGCCATTTTTGTCAGGAACATCTCTCCCTACTCTGAGTAGACCTGTGCTTGTCCTCTGCTCACCACCCCCCGTCTGATGGCCAGACTGAAAGCTTGAATGCTACCCTGGAGCAATGCCTCCGCTGCTGCGTCAATTCCCACAGGACAATTGTCCTGCTTTTCTTCCTCTGGCGACATTTGCCTACAACTCCGGTAATGCTTCCAAACAGCAGGCTCCCCTTGGCCAGTCTGGGCCGCCTCCCTAGGAACTTCTCCACCACTCTGCCTCCCTCCACTGTACCAGCAGCAGCAGACTTCTTACAAGAACTGCAATCTTTGCATGTTCTACTCAAGGAACAGTTGGACCAGGCTTATAAAGCAGTAGCTGAGACTCATCCTCAGGAGAGGATGGCTTTGCATTTGGGGGACTGGATCCGTTTCTCCACGGCGTTTCACCCCTCCTCTGCTCTTTTGAAGAAACTGGCGGCTGGTTGAAGAAACTTTCAGATTGTGGCTCAGAGCAATCCTGTGGCATTCTGCCTATCCCTGGCTCCCTCCATGAAGCAATGCTTTCCATTAGAACTTGGAAAAAAAGCAAAAACGGTCGCTGGCTCTTGTTTTAGGCAAGACGGAATCACATTGCCTTAAAGGGGACTCCATGCCCTACCCATTTAGCTGGTCCCCCACACCTGCCCTCATAACACAGGAAGAGCATGGCTCCGGCACCCAAGGGGTAGGCCCAACACCTCCAGGCAGCCTATCCACTTCCGAGCTCTGAACAAACTGAAAAGCACCCCGTCAGATGCATCCACCAACTCCCCGTGGAATCAGGAATTCCTATTCGTACAGATCGGGTCGCTCCAACCTACAAAGTATTCTGCAAAGGAGCACCCATGAGCTGCTGAGGAGTCTTCCTCTTCGTTGTGTGGGTGCGAGTTGGTTATTTATTGTCCTATTTGTCAGTAATAGATCTTGGACCACCAGAAAGACCTGCACTGGCAACCTGGGCAGGTGTAACGGTGGTGGTGAAGAGCAGCACGCCCACCATTTCCCTTGCTGTCTAAAGGAAACACCTGGTTTGCAGGTAGCCACTAATTTATGGTGCTGAGTGGTAAGAAGCTTGTGGAGTGAATCAAAGAATGTGTATCAAACAGAAATGGAACCCCCACGCTTCCTGTGTTGTGAATTGCCAAGCCCTACTCCCTTTAAGCTAAGCAGTCAAATTGACTTAAGCGTCCTGTAGGCAAAAGCTACTCCATCAGCCCTTGGGAACACCGTTACAGTCCTGAAGCTATGAGAACCAAGTGATGTGATTATGCGTGATTCCCGAGAATGGCCTCAAGAAAACAACCCTCCTGCAGCTCCAGATGCTACATCTGGTTCTAGCAGACTTGTTGTCTTCTGGGGGAGGCACCGTCTGGCCGGCCGGTCCAGGCTTCCCCATCATTCATCCACATTAATGGCTTCAAAGGCATTGACGTGCCCCAGCTTGTCGCAGGAGAAATGGACGACGAGGTGCTTGGTCCCACTTCTGCTAGGAGTGATGTCGAGGTGGACACGAGAGCGGTCCTTGGCCTTCACTGGTGGCAGCCTGCGAGGGAGGAAGGGAAGGCCTGGTCAGCAGAGGCCCGGGAAGAGCTTTAACCCAGCAAGTGCTCAGGAGCCCAGCGGCTGGGGAGAACGCTGACTGCCCTTCCCCGTTCTGCCCCCATGAGTGCTGGGGAAGGTTGTGGGGCAGCAATCCTAGTCTCCCTCCCTCCCTCCCACACACAAAATCCCCCAGTTCCAAACGTCAGAGTTCCACTGCTGATAAAAACGTCATCTGTTGAGCCAGTCACTAGGTGCACAGCATCTGCAGCTGATCTCAGGATGTCTGCAATTGTGCAGAATCGCAAACGGTCCCACTTGCCCCAGGAATGGCAGAGTTATGATTGTGGGCAATTCTGCCCTGACAGCTCCAGGGTGTGGGCCCACATCTCTTCTGGTTCCTTCAAATTCTGGGGAAAACCACAGATGTGCTTCATCCCACCTCACGGAGGAGGTGCAGTCTTGATGGGCTCGGTGACATTTGGAGCAGCCATTTGTAATGTTACAGTAAGTAAGTAAGTAAGTAAGTAAGTAAGTAAGTAAATAAATAAATAAATACATATATACATAAATGTTACAGTAGAGGAAACTCCCTGCTCTGCCTCCTCCTGGCAGCAATCACTGACCCAAGCCCTGTCGTCAGGACACCAGATTCAGCACTCGGGTCACTCCAGCAGCAACTCCACGGAAAGGAGCATTTATTATGTTTTTTAAAAGAGTGACAGAAAGGTGAAAGCAAAAGAAGGGAAGGGCAGCAGGTAGCAGCCGGTACAAGTGGGGGACAGCGGCAGGCCCAGTCCTGGCACCCGCCAGCCCTTGTTATACCAGACAGCGAAGAAAGCCAGCCTCTAATGCTCTCCACCCCTGGTGGCTGCTCCATGCAGAGTCTTGGACTTGGGTTAGGGAGCAAAAGGCCCCTTCTCCTGCAGGATGCCCCGCAGGAGGGACAAAGACTTTCTCCATCCCCAGGTGCTTTCTCCCAGCTTCCTCTTCACTGATCTGCGGGGTGATGAGCCTCCCAGTCCAGAGGCGCCCACTCTCCCGGGTGTTGGCCATCATACCATTCATGTCCCAGGCGGACAGTTCCCATCCTGGCGCCCTTGAATCGAACTTAGTTGACAACCCGCAGTTGCCAGTTACTCCTTAGAGCCCGACGGCTAAAAGGCTACTGCTGCATAAATCACTCCCTTGGTCAGGGCAATTTAGCTCTCCCTGAGCCCGAGTTTGATTTAACCTCAACAGCATTCAAAAGCTGTCCAGTTTGGCTTCCTGCATAACGACCTTCCGCAGCAGCAGCTGTGCACAGTTTATGGTGAGGCAGCTCCCTTTCACCCCGAGACTCTTGCGCTCTCTTGCCAGCCATCTTGGAGGTGGTGCCCTAAACGGTGGGGGCGCATCTCTAAAACAAATGGGCACTGATGGCTATGGGAGATGGAGGGGGGGGTCATGAGGGACGCCCTTCCACGGCCCTGCTGTTTCTGTCCCAGTTGGAGCACAGCCACCGGGGCTGCAACTGAGTGATCCCAAATGCAGATGCCGGTGGCCAGGGCCTCCTGCCCCCTTCCTTCCCTGCCCAGGCCTGCTTGGGGGCCCCGGTACTTACTGTATCCGGACCGTGTCCGCCGTCAGATCGCTGCCTTCCGCCCGCAGCACACAGTCCTTCACCTCCTCTTCCAGCGGGTTGGTGAACAGCACTTCCACCTTCACCTGCTCGCCCACTTTGGCCTGGCCCAGCACCTGCCAGACAAAGTCTCTGTTGGGCAGAGAAGCCCCAAGGCCTGGCCTAGCCTTGGAGAAGAGGAGGCCCAGGAGGCAGGCCAGGGTGGAAGAGGAGGGACAGTGGCTACGCCTCCAAAGGCCTTTTCAGACATGGAGGTCAGAGCACGGGCTCCTGCAAATGGCTCCCCTCCAGGCCCCCCCACAGGGGGGCGCGGCTGCCGTGGCCCGCTCTGTCTGCCCACACCCGAGGTGCAGAATTCGGTCTCTGGAGAGCACTGATTCTCAGGGCCCTGTCATATGACCTGCCTGACATGGCCCCGAGCACAGAGGAGACAGCGGGCTGGAGGGGGGAGAGCAGAGTGGGGGGGGGGTTACCTTCAGGAGGATGGGGTGGGATTCTAGGATGACAACTCTTTGCACTAGAGCACAGCTCCCGTCTTCCACATGGCACAGGGCAGTAGCCTGAATCATGTTGTCCAGTGTCAGGTGCCCCTTGTATTCGGCATAGGGAATCCTAAAGGGAAACCTTTTCTCTGCAAGGAAAGCAGGAGAGGAGAGACTGGCCCCGTGCGGTGTCCGCAGGCAGCCTGGCCAAGCTTCGCCTCGGTCGCGCCTTGATCAGGACAGGACTGAGTGGAGCAGTCAGTCCCTGTCCAGAGCCAGCTGGAGAAAGGCCGGAGTCCTCCTGTTCAGCACCAGGAGGAGGAAAGGCAACCCTCTCTCCAGGGAATGGGGGTGCAAGGGGGGTCACGGCAGGAAACGGGTCTGCCAGCTCCGTGTCCCACATGGGCCTACCCGGAACATCAGTCTCAACCCAGCCAAACCCTGTGGCATGTCCTCCCTTCGCTGGCCGTGGGGAAGCCCGCTCTCGGGGGCTGGGCCGACAGAAAAGGGCTACCTTCGTTGGGGCCAAGAGTCACCGGGAGCGAGTCCCGCAAGAGTTCGTGCATGGTCCGCCCGGTGTAGATGATGGTCCACAAGGCCACGTTAGCCGTGAGACTCTTGATGGCGGCAGAAAGGTTTCTCAGCACAAGGATTAAGTTGACGTCTTGGCCAAGTTGCAGAGAGCCATCCACCTCGAACTCGCCTGAGATGCTGCAGCTGGCAGCTTGTCCCTGTTCCGCAAACATGGCTGCCGACCACTCCAGGAGCAGGCCGCCACGGGTCCTTTCGAACAGCCCCCTTTCCTTGGCAGAAGCTGGAAGAGATAGAGCAAAGCGGCAGTGAGGAAAGCCTGCCGGAGCTGAGGGAGGCACGGGACGCAACAGTGCACGGGGTCCGTGGCTGCTCCCAGGAACACCCAGGAGCTTCCAGGTTTAAAATGCAGGCACAGAGAGAGCTATTTTCAGGGACAGCGTTAAGGAAAAGAAAGACTGACTGTGCATTTTGGAAAACTCATCCTCCCGGCTTTCCTGGAACTGAAACTCAAACTGCAGCATTGCCTTTTACAGCATGTAAGCCTCAGTCACAAAACATATAAACAGACGGAATCCTAACACACAGATGCTATAGACTGGGGTAGGCCCAGCATGTTTTGCTCCCTGAGGATGATGGGTATACAACCCCCCCCCCCCATTCCTCACTAGATGACCCTGGTCAGTCCCTGTTTCTCAGCCCAAGGCACCTCATGGGGATGGCATGAGAGAAGAAACCCAGGGACTTTCTGCTTTTAGTGCAATGAAGGAAAGAAAATGCCGTAACTTGCATTTTGGCTTCTTTTGGAGAGAAAGGCGGATTTCTTGCTTTGATCATGCCCCCTTCACTTTTTGAATCTGCTCCTGGCTGTCTTCCCTGAGATAGCCTTTGAAGTGGGGGCGCGGGGGGTGCTTCCTGTATTCATGGTATTTCTACGCCACGGGAGCCCAAAGCTCCTTTGCCCCTGAACAGCTCTGAATGTGGTCAGGCTCCCCCCTGCTTCTGTTCCGTCTGCCCATCTCAGATCTCGCTTCCTGCATCACGGGGAAACATTTGCCCCAGTTCTAGGACTGGATGTCCTAAAAGCTCAGTTGCAGTGACTTTTGCATGGCACTCCCCCCCTTGTGGTCTTACAATGGTATTCTCTCTTTAAGTCTGTTATCGCATAATACTCTTTTGCGTATGTCTTTCTCTGTTGCTAATGCCAGTTATTGTGCCTTGGGGTTTCCTGCGTGGCAGATTTTCATCCCGAAAAGTATTCATTGCGTTCCCGCTTCACTTCTCCATAAAACTGCCAAATGCGCTGCACTTGGGGGGGGGGGTGAAAGAGAAGCGCCCCGTTTCCAGGCTCCCCCTTCCGCGCGGCCATCAACTTCCACGGCACACGGCCCATGCACGCGCACGGAAAAGAGCTCCCGTGCAAACCGCGAGAAGGCACGGCGGCGAGCAGCGCGCGCTTCCGCACTTCCCGGGGAGAGCCGGGAAGGAAGCGCGCCTCGGGGGGGCGGGGAGCGCGGCGCGGCGGCGGGCGCGGGGCCTGCCCGAGGAGAACGCGGTGGAGCGCCGGGCCGGGAGGCCCAGCGGCGCCCAGGCAGCCCGGAAGGCCCAGCGCCGCCTCTCGCCGCCTTTCCGCGAGCTCCGCCGCGCCGCGGGTTGGAGCGGAGCGGCTCCCCGGGCGGGGGGGCCCGGTCGCGGCTGGCGCTGGCGGCGAGAGGCGGCGCGGCGGCACCCGGCAACCCTGTGGGGCCTCCCCGGCGCGGGCGAAGACTCACGGCTCCCGGCGGGCTCTTCCGCGAAGCTCCGGGCGTGGCTGGCCGCCGCGCCGAGCGCCTGACCGGGGCTGGGCGGCGCCGGTGGCACCCCGCGCTCCTGGCAGGCGGCGCGCCTGCAGCGATCGATCCCGCGTGTGCTTCCGCGCTGGATTCTTTGCGCAGCGCCGCGATCCTGCGGGAGAGCCGAGCCGGCTGTTGCGCGCGCGGGGTTGGGATTCCCACGCGTGCACTCCCCTCTCGGCTCTTTACAGCGCGGAGCTTCCCAAAACTTTCCCGATGTTTTTGCCTTTATTTCCCTCTGTCGTCGTGTTCTGTTGGACTTCTGAATCGCTCTACAGCGCCCGGAGGATTCGGATAGCTGGCGAGTGGTAACTTTGCGGAACCAGCGAAGGGGTCCAACCCTGTCCCAGATGGTATTCCGCCCGCGACTCACCGTGAGGTGCTGGGCCCACGTTCCGTGCAAGCGGGGCCCCCTCGTCTCTCCCCACCCCCCCACGCCTGCATCTTGCCCGGTTTAGCCTCCGGCGAATATTCTGCCCCCGCTGCCTGCTCCCTTTCCTCCCTCCTTCACAGCCCTGCTGCAATGACTTTCTCAGGTGTAAATTCGAAGCAGCGCCTGCACTCCAAGCAGCCATTAAAAGCCCCTTTCTGACCTCAGTGCACTTGCTGCTGTTGCTTTCTATGGTTTTGAGACTTTCACTTTCCTTCTGGGTTTTATCTTAGTCATTGCAATCCCCCCTCTCAGCATCTTGAAGATCAGTCTCTGGGGATGTTTATATTTTAGGGGATTCTAAAGATGTCTTGGTTATTGTCCTGACTTGAGCGATGCTTTTATCAGCCCCCTTAGGCCCTACGCCCCTCTCTGGCATTTATAGCTGTTCACCCACCTTGTGAGCAATCTATTACTTTACGATGAGAAGTTTTTAGTAAGTGCTAGAGCTCTAAAACCCCATAAAACCATCCTTCATTCTGGCTATCTCGTAGTTCTCTCGCGGAGCAGAAACCACCCCAAGAGCTTTGACACTTGGGTGGCACGGGAAGAAAGTAACCATGAAGCCTGTTAGAGAGGAAACAAGCCTGTGTGTCCCATCCAGTGCCAGCCAGGCCTCCCTCCCTCCCTCCCTCCCTCGCTCTTCCAGCAGGCCCTGGGCCGCATCCTGACCGTTGGATGTTGGCACCAGTCTTCGGGGCAGCAGTCCCGTCTGGCACAGTGCGGACTTTCATTCCCCACCGGGCGGGGGCTGCACTGGGCACGGCAGGGTGGAAGCATGCAGCCCGCACCGGGCAGGAGCAGTGGCCTTTCCCTGTGTGCCAGCACCCCAGCCCACCCAAGCCAGGGGCCACCTGCCCCGGGGCACTGCCAAGGCACCGGCATGTGGCTCAGTCCCACAGCAGCGTTTCAGGGCGCCCGTTCTCCAGCTCCTCGCCAGACAGTTTCCCCCTCACCAAATTCTCATTCACCCGAAAAGAACGGGGACGTTATTTTGTTTTTTTGTTTCATGTTTGCTCTTCCTTATTTTGTGTAGCTCCAGTTTCCACTTGTGTGCGTTTGCTTCTTTTGAGGCCTCCTGGGCCAAAGCTTGTCTTTTTGCTTTCTGTCTGAAGGGGATTTCTTATTTGACCATGTCTCTTACTTGGTTTTGGGGGCTGTTCCTGAGCATCTTTTCTGAGCAACCCTGTGGGAGCCAGACAATTGGTCTTCCAAGCTATTTGGAACAGATTCCATTCTCCCCCACACACTCTTTTTACTATATTTGATAATGAGTAAGGCCCAGACTTCGCCACCTTTTCCATTAAAACACCTTCTTTACTACCTAGCTGAATTCACCCCCCACCTCTGGCCAGTGGTCCCATGGGACCTGGAAATTCATTTCTTCTCTTTTTTGTCTGGGTTCACGGGAACCTGTTTCTGAAATGTCTGAGCTCACAAAGTTTCTCCAGATTGCTCCTACAAGTTTGGACAGCAGTGCTCATGTTTCAGAGGAAAAATGTGTTGTTTTTTAATTCAGCCAGGAAAAAAGCTAAAGTTAAAAAGTATGCATTTTCCACTGGGGAAGAAATGTGTTTGTTGTTGTTGTTGTTGTTAATCACGAAGTCGTGTCCAAACCATCGCAACCCCATGGACAACATTTCTCCAGGCCTACCTGTCCTCCACCATCCCCCGGAGTCCACTTAAGTTCACACCAACTGCCTCAGTGACTCCATCCAGCCACCTCATCCTCTGCCGCCCCCTCCTTCTTTTGCCATCTATTGTTCCCAGAATTAGGCTCTTCTCCAGGGAGTCCTTCCTTCTCATTAGGTGGCCAAGTATTTGAGTTTCATCTTCAGGATCTGGCCTTCTAAAGAGCAGTCGGGGTTGATCTCCTCTAGGACTGACCGGTTTGATTGCCTTGTGGTCCAAGGGACTCGCAGAGTCTCCTCCAGCACCACAATTCAAAGGCCTCAATCCTTCGGTGCTCAGTCTTCCTTATGGTCCAACTTTCACAGCCATATATTGCAACTGGGAAAACCATAGCTTTGAGTATGCGAACGTTTGTTGGCAGAGTGATGTCTCTGCTTTTTAGTATGCAGTCTAGACTTGCCATAGCTTTCCTCCCCAGGAGCAGGTGTCTTTTACTTTCTTGGCTGCAGTCCCCATCTGTGGTGGTCTTGGGGCCCAGGAAAATAAAATCTGTCACTACCTCCCTTTCTTCCCCATCTATTTGCCAGGAAGTGTGCCAATTCCCCATCAGCTCAAGTGGAAAGGGCAGTTTGGAGGTGGGTAGGCATGGGTGCCTCTGGAAGTATGCCAGAGGCATACCAAGTTTAGAGATGGCAAGTATTTCCTAAGAAACATGTCCTGGCTTGTGTTTGGGACTGTGTGTTTCACCTTTCCTTTTGTCATGGGAGGCATGTTGGGAGTGGGGGCAGGAAGCAACAGATCCCACAAGGCCTTAGGATCATCTACCACAGCAAATGCGGCAAGTTCCCACCAGTCGTGGGAGCTATGCCTCCTTGCTTGCCACGATGCCTCAGTCTGCTCGATGGCCCTTCCATGCAAGAACACGCTGGGTTTGTGGGTAGCCACAGGTTTTGTGAAGTGGAATGGCACTGACATTTCCAGGAGGAAGCAAAGGCCTTTATTAAGCAGCAATGGTAATTTCACACTTGCACAGGAGAATCATGAGAGACAAAGAAACAGCAGGCTCACAAGCTTCTCCAGACTTACTTGGTCGTATGAGCCCTGACCTGATGGGTCTTTCTGTTCCTGGGATTGCTGGGTGTCAGAAAGGAAATCTCCTAGTATGAGGAGCATCCATTCCTGCACAATCCCTTAATATGTCTTAAAGGCCATGGGGGTCTTAAAGGCCCCAGGGTGGGGGGGGGTGTTGGGTGTCTGCCTGGGAGTTGCACAGATGTAGTTGCGGCCTTGTCCAGGGGATGCCCACCCTCAGCCTCTGTGAGCTCCTCATCCCCCTTCCCTCAAAACCCCTCAACTCCTCCTCCCTGTTCCACTCTGCGTAGCTCTGCCACCAAAACAGGCACTCTCTCTTGCTGTGCTTTGCTGGACACTTGTTCTCTTGGACTTGTCTAGGATACATTGCACTTTAGCTAAGCATCGTAGCTGGCCCAACCTGCCAACAGCTGACACAACTCAGCTGCTGCATGAGAACTTGGGGAAGCTGCGTTTGAATATATGTGATTAGCATAAATGTCTGCGTGAGGAGGCGGGGCTCTGCATACAGCTGCATGTTCCACATCTGGCCCGGCAGCCGTGGACTTGCTGCTCCTGTCACCCGCACGGCCCCGTCCTGGGCTCCAGGATCAGTCTTCCACTGTGATGGTCTCGAAGGCTTTGATGTTCTTGTATTTGTCACAAGAGAAGTTGATGAGGAGATGCTTGGTTCCGCTCCGGCTGGGAACAATGGTGAATTGGACCGGGGAGCTCTCCTTGGCTTTCAGGGGGGCCACCCTGTGTAGGAAGAGCAAAGAGGTTGGTCGGCCAACAGCTTAGGCGTGGCAAGAGCTCCGGGACTGGCGTGACTGGGGACAAGTTATGCTTGTTCACACATTCTGACATGCTCAGATGGTTGCAAAGGTGCACCTCCTCCCAAATCTTGTTGTTTGAAGCAGGTGTTCTGCCTGCCAGGAGCCCCAGGTACTTACTGCAACCTGAGGGTCTCGGCCACCAAGTCAGCGCCCTCTGCATGCAGCACGCAGTCCTTCAGCTCCTCCTCCAGGGGACTGGCGAACTTGACTTCCACTTTCACCTCCTTGCCCACTTTGGCTGGGCCCAGCACCTGTCCAGAGCAAAGTGTCTGCGTGGCACAGCAGGCATGGGTATTGCTCAGTGGGGGCCTAGCCCTGGCTTCAGAGTAGAGGCCCAGGAAAGAGGCGGTGCTTTTGGGAAGTGAGGAGGGGCCAAGGCTCACTTGGGCAGGGGGCTGTGTTGGGAGGGCCAGGCCGATGCAGCTTCCCCTTCCCCTTCCCACCCAGACCGCTGCTCCATGGAACACGCAGCTCCACTTGGCCCCTGCACATGCCACATCTTGATCTGGATGCCGGATTTCAGTTGTGCTCGCTTAGAAGTGCCTGAGAGCAGCTGAGCAGGAGGGGTTACCTTCGTGGTGACATGGGGGTTGGACAGAATGACGACTCTTTCCACCACAGCAAAGCTCCCATCATCCACTTTGCATAAGGCAGTCACCGCAATCATTTTGTCAGAGGTCAGGTATCGGCGGTAGGCAGCATACGAGATCTTGAAAGGGAATGGTTTCTCTGCAATAGAAGCAGTAGCCAAGAGGTTGCCCCCGTGAGATGAACTCTGTGGAAGTGGTGATGGCTTGGCGATCGCAGAGCTGGGCCTGGATGGAAAGGACTGCTTGGGCTGTGCATGAGCACATTTAGAGAAACGGCTGTTACGGAAGGTGGGCAAATGGTGCAAAGGTAATTGCAAGCCCAAAGGAGCAGCCTCTTTTTTCGGGGGGTTCTTACAGTGTATGCACCAAGAGTTACCACCCTGTGCCTGGTTGTCTTTCACGCATGTTGAGCCACAGGGCCACGTACCGTGATAACCACTGAGGGTGCGTTCCATGATGTGCGAGCACAGGCACTGCCTGCCTCTTAAACACCTCTCAGCATGTTGGCCTTGGCATTTTGAACACGAACTCCAGTCCTGCCTCCCCTTCCAGTTCTGATTCCCCATCTGAAGCAAGTGCCCCCGAAAACTGCATTTGGGGAGAAATGTGCCGGTCTCTCCCAGGACGGGATGGCAAGCTTCCCCTTCGATTCCCCAGGAATGGCAACAAGGAGGCATCTGATCCTGGACTGGCCCCTTCCCTCTTTGTATTTGGTTGTCCATCTCAAGAAGTGCTTCTCCTTCGAAGGGCATTAGAACAGTATGAATTCTGAAGAGCCTCCTACCAATGCTGGAGGAGAAGCTTCCGGCCGTGTCAAGAGCAGAACCCAAAGCGAAAGCTCGCCTCGTTCCCCCCCCCCAGTAAAGTTTTGGATTCCCCCCTCAGGGGGCCTCCCTGCATGGGGGCAAGATGGTGGGAATGCCTGAGACCCTCAGAGTGGGCAGCTCCTTTCTCCCATCGCCTCCCTACGGGGTCAAAGACTGCATCTTGCACCTGCTCAAATTGCTCAAGTTCAGGTTCCTCCCTACCTCACAGCTCCACCTCCTCCTCAGAATCAGATCCATGTGTCTGAACAGTGTGTCCCGAGTGAGAGGGGGACCCGTGCTCCACACACACGGTCCTGCTCCACATGTTGCTTCGGACCCCACCCCCCGCCTGCATCTGTATGGCTTGATGGTTTTCCTCCTGCCTGGCCATGGTGTCGATGGGCAGTCCACCCTCAGGACTTAGGTAAAGGAATTACGTTGGCTGGGTCCCAGGGTCTCCTGGTGGGAATCCTTCCAGATTTCATGGACGGGTTTCCCAGTGTAGAGGATTGTCCAGGCGGCCATATTCACAGTCATACACTTGGCTGCAGAAGCAACATTTTTGAGCACCAGGCTTAAGCTGACGTCCTTGCCGACCTCCAGGGGGCCCTCCACCCGGAACTCCCCGGAGATGACGGTGGGTTTCTCTTTTTGCTCCTGGGCTGCTCTCATCGGGGGAGGAAGCTTGCTACGAGCGTTGGCATACGCTGCCCTTTCCTCGGGAGATCCTGGAAGAAGCAGACCAGAGTGGCAGTGACTGAGATGATACTCAGGTGGTTTGCACAGTGGCTGTTGACCTTGCTGTGTCTTCCCCGAACTCTGCAGCAACTCTGCACTCTTTGGCTTTCTCTTCTTGTCCATGTTATCATAAAATCATAGAACAGCAGAGCTAGAAGGGGCCATGAAGGCCATAGGGTTTGACCCCATGCTCTCATAGGACACCAAGTTACACCATCCCTCTCAGATGGCTGTCTAGTTTCTTTCTGAAAGTCCCTTCTCTGGGAGAGTCCACCACTTCTCCCGGCAGCTGGTTCCACTCTCATATCCCTCTGAAAGCGAGGAAACTTTTTCTGATATCTATCTCGAACCTTGGTTGTTGATTGTCTGTGCCCTGCCCTCTAGACTGATTGAGAAGAGATCCTGGCCCTCATCAGCATGGAAGCCTTTCAGGTATTTGAATAATGCTGTCGCATCCCCCCTTAGTCTTCTCTTCGCAAGGCCGAACACACCCTGTTCTCTCAGCCCCCCTGCACAGGGCTGTGTTCCCAACCCTTGGATCATTCCCTTTTGCATCCTAAAGATGGTTTGCCATCTACACCTGCATAGCATGTGCAGTTGAACTGTTTCAAAAGATCATCCGTCCATCCATTGCTTTTATGTACTGTTCAGCACCGTACGTGGCTCTCAGAATGGTTTCAAAAGGGTAAAACCTTCTGCCCAGTGGTCAGTCTGGCCATTCAGCAATGGGGGAGTCACTGGAGGCTCAATACTGGGGCAAACAGTTTGACTCCACCTTTGTCCTTTACTTTGAGCTCCGTCCTGGACCTGATGCTGCCGGTTTCTGGTCTGCCCTCTGCCCTCCCTCTCAGCATTTCCACCTGCGTAAAAGGAAAACTCACCTGCTTCCTTTGCCTTACCTGCTGGATATTTGAAACTGTCAGTGATATCCTGGCGGTCATTCCTGCCCACAGTCTTTGTGCTTATGGCCTGGCCGACCCTAGTGATGTCAGCTGCAACTGGAGTTACCGTTCCGGCGTCGTAGATCGAGTAGCGAATGTCCGCATCGACCTCGGCAAAGACGAAGGGGCCGTCATAGTTCAGCTGCACGTCTCCAGCTTTGATGGCGGTCAGCGAGGCTGGCCCACACTGGAATATGCCTAGAAGGGGTGGAGGGGAGGGACGAGGCCACCATGGACTTGCTTCAGAAAGCCAAGGAGCCATGGTGCCCGGAGAAAGGATGCGGTGGGATTCCTGTCATGGCAATGATTCCAGGCTTGGGAAACGAAGTGCACCGTCAGCACAGCACGGACCCAGTGCGGAGCTGCCCTGTGCTGGCGGAGGAGGTCGGGTGAAAAGATTTGCTCTTGTAAAATGTTGGCACACCGTCCTTCGTCCCTATAGATCTCAGGGCAATTTACACAAAGACATCCATGCAAGGTGCAGACAAGAGAGAAAGAGACAACGGGGATATTTTGGGAAAACGTTTTGGAGTGGAGTGGAGAAGGGCAGAGCTCAGCTCAGCTCCCTGGGTGTTGTGTTGCTTGCACAGAGAGGGGATTAGCCCGTGCCCCGACTCCCCTCTTCGCCTGCCTCCAGTCATTTCCCAGCTAGCCAGCGGAAAGTCTCCGGAGTCCCCCCCCCCCCACAGCATGTGGTGTTAAGGGGCCACCCCTCCCCCCTCCCCCCCCCCCCCCCCGGTCGCTGGCTGTTCTGCTACCTTCACTTTTCTCTTGGGGAGTTCCGTCCACAGTTTGACTCCCGCCGTATCCAGGGGGAAGGTCAGTTCGGGTAAACCAGGTTCCCGTCCACACGTGGAAGTTCCTGCAACGGAATAAATTGAAACAAATCCAAGCAGGAAAAAGTAGCCCGGTGTTACGCCTGGCCACAGGGAGAAGGCAGTGCGTTTTCACAGGGAGCCTCCCTGAGCCCTGGAGCATCGCTGCGTCCACCCAGGGAACATGTGGATCCTTGTGCGTCTGCAATATCGTTGCCATGCTGGAGGGAGTCATGGGAGAAAGAAGCGTTGTGGTCGAGCGCTGACGAAGGATCCCCACCCCACACCGTGCCCAGGGGGAACAGCCGAGACCGAGGCCAAGGAGACAGATCCCTCGGGAAATGAGCCTGGAAAAGCCTGGGAGGGGGCGGGGGCATGTCTGTGTCTTCAGCGAGGCGGACAGGGCAACTCTAGAGGAGCCGAAGGGCTGGTGGTGGTGGCAGAAGGTGACTGCCTTGTCCAAAGCAACACCAGAGGGTCGCGGGTGGGCAGTCGAGGGAGAGGAGGAAGAAGGGGCAGGCAGTGGTGATGGGTGGGGTGCACATGACTGGTGGGGGGAGAGGATTTGCTGGCCCCGAGTGCCAGTTTCACCCCTCTGGCGAGCTCGCGATGGCCCTACGCCTTCCCCCAAGCACCAGCCAGCTGGTTTCCCAGCCTAGGTGCCTTTCCCCCATTCTAAACCTTGCAGTGCCTTTCCTAAGGGTTACTTGCTGTCGGTAAAAGCCTCAAGCGACGTGCTGCCGGCATCTTCTCCCTTCGCCTTTTGCCCTGCCTGCTGCTGGCAGGTCGTTCCCAAGGAGCTCTCCCCAATCAGATCTGCCCGTTGGGCTGACAGGGCAGCCCCTGTGCCTAAATCCATGGGGCGGTGGACTGGAAGGACTGGTGAAGGGAGAGGGAGGAGAAGGGAAGGGGGGCTGCCTGGGTGGCCTGCCCTCCTGGGGAGGGAAAGCTCTCGGCAGGTGCTGTGAAGGGTTCCCCACGGGTACTGCAGAAGGTCCGTGCAGCTGGGGGAAGGGGAAGCCTGGTGGATTTGCCCCAGAGTGGGAGTCTGCCCCTACGGCCAGGATGCCTCCCTTTTCTTTCTGGGCCCGCCATCATGTGATGATTGCGTCTTAGCACCCACAAGCTACTTGTAGAGAAGTTGAGGGAGTTACCAGAGGCTGTCCGGACTTTCTGCAGGCAGATACGTTCCACAGGAGTCAAGGTACAGGTCCAAAATGAGGTCCCTGTTTCGATCATGGCCAGATTCAAAGTTTGTGACGGGGCAGCTGGGGATCCCCAGACACCGGAGGACTAGGCAGAAAGACACCCAGAGAGGAGGCTGTGTTGGTGGCACTCGTCTGACGTGGCACACAGGCATTGCGCCTGCTAAGGTTTTCCCCCATGATTCCCTCCTCCAGAGTTTGGAGCAGACATCACCGTATCAGGAAGGGGTAGTGGGAAAGGAGGTCAGTCAAGGGGGGCTGTGAGAGAGAGGATTTCCTAGAGTGGATTTTTGTTCCCAGCACTTAGCCAGGGTCCTGTGAAGGAGGCGTACCTGTGGTCATGAGTCCTGCAAAAACCCAGCACTGGCCATACTTGACTGGCTGAAATCCAGAGTCCCTCCAGGTCCTCAAGATCTCCGCACTTCCCGACCAGTAGTTTGGATCTTTCCCACCAGCGTAATCCCCAGTCCAGTTTCCCTGCAATACTCCCTTGCCATCAGTAGCGTCGTTGACCTGGGAAAACGGGGAGGCATGCAATGGTGAATCGTGGGAGAGGCAGCTGCCTGCACGATCCATGTTTGTTGTGGCACCAGTGAAGTGCTTGCTCTTCATCTGTTGCACAACCTCAAACATACTCTCTGCATGAAATGGCCCTCATGGCACATAGGCCACATTTTTCCCACATGATCCTGCATCAGCTCTGTTTGGTTTCTCTAGGGATGGGCACCTGAGCCACCAACCCATCCAAGCTTTCTTCCACTGGTCACCTAAGTGAGACCGGATCGGGGAGGGGACAGGAGGAAGGGATCCCCATCAGACGGGATGGAGCCCCTGCCCTGCCTGTGGTTCTCTCCGTTGGGAAGAGATCCACTTCCTGTGCAGAGGAGCAAGAAACGCTGTGCATGGTTTGGGGGCCGGAAATGTGCATGGCCCATGCCCTCTCCTGTTCCCATGAGCAGTGGGTGTTTGGACCCTGGGGCTCAGGCTGGCTCCCTTGCTCATTTCTCCCCCTGTGCAGTCAGATGTGACAAAGCAGAGCAGGTGGGCACAGCAGGCGCCCCGGAAAAGGACCTCTGACCCGGCAGGGCTAGCTGGCCATCTGACCGGGCCCCTTGGCAGCCTCCGTGACTCGTGAATGCCCCTGGGGATCCATCACCATCAAGCACACAAGGAAGCCCCTTCCCTTGCAGTGAGCGCTAGATTTCCCTGTGCTCCACTCTTTGGATCAGGACTGGTCTGGCTGTGCCCGAAGCGACAGGAGACGCTTGCCTGCAGTCTTTGTGGAAGAAGGGGAAGAGCGCACCCCTCTGCTTACCGTGGCACTGAGCACCCGAGCAATGTATTTGGGGTCCTTCCGCTGGCGCACGTCAGAGCTCGGGTTGTAGCGATAATGGATGCTCTGGTCCAGCATGGAGAGGCAGATATTCAGAATGTCTTCCTGAAACTGTTGGTGGAGGAAGGTGTCAGCGGAGAGAAAGGTCTTGTCGTTCTGCTGCATGAGCCATGCCACCCCCCCACCCCCACATTGAGGCACAGAGAGAGCGCAATCAAAATGTGATCCCCTGAGCCACCAGAAGCAACCGCTTCCCAAGCAAAGCCCGCCTTGCCCAGTTTGACAGAGGGCATCTGCCTATTGTGATTCTTTGCTTGTCCATCACTTTCCAAGGAATTGCCCCAAGTGCCTGAAGATCTGGTTGTGGAGTGCTGTACTTAGAAAGAAGCATTCTGACTTAGAAGCATTTTGGATGAAAGCAACCCTGTATTCTTGGCATCTCACCAGCAACCCCAAAGTGGCTGCACTGTACTTTTTACTTCTCTCCTCCCAACTTGGTTCATTTGAGAAGATATCGGAAATGGGGGAGGGGGTGAAGGAGGACCCTGGCACAGGAGAGGGGTCATGCTGAGCCATCATTGGGGGGAGTGCAGGACTCATCTTCAGGACAGGAGACCATCAGAGCCATGCTGGATCAGATGGAGGCTCCCTCTAGGCCAGCCTCCTGTCCTTCCGACCAACATCCTGTGGGTGCCCGAAAGTTAAAAGCGAGTACCAGAGCCCCTTCTCATGGTTGGTCCCCAGCCCCTGGGACACGTGGGGCCACTGCCTCTCACCCTGGAGGTAGCCATCGGTGCCAGCACGACTGGCCATGGAGAGCCGTCTCCTCCCCGAAAGAGCCGAGAAGGCCGGTTGCTGGAGGGCAGCATTGTGGGGTTCGGCCTGGGACACGCAGGGATGTCTGAACAGGAGCAGTGCGTTTCCCCACACACTCTCAAGGTCTCCTCATTCCCTCCACTTTTTTTTTACCTGACCGTAATTCCATGGCAAAGCCTGGATATTGTCAACAACTCCTTTGAAGATAAGGCCGAAGTCCGATTTGACGTATTCATCACGCTGTGCATCATCATCCAGGAAGACTTCATCCGCTGGAAGCCAAACAGCAGGAGGACTGATTTCACCCCGTCACGAGACCTGGAGCCACCTGGGACATGGTGCTCCTCCCCTCCCCTTTCCTCGGAGCTTTCTGATTTAGCAGTTGAGCAGTTCTGTGCATGGAAGGCACTCCCACAAGTGTAACACCTCGGAGGGTGGGGAGCTCTTTCTCTTACTTGCTTCTTTTTGGCTTTTGGAATGTCGAGGAAGGGGAGCGCTACTGCACATGGGGTGGTGGGGCATGGAGCTGCTGGAGAGGAGAGGAGCACCCCAAATCTGTTGGAATGGGTCATGCCCCTGCCAACAGACGCTGCGTTCTGGCATGCCGGAAGCTGCATGGTAGAGCCCCTCCCCAGGCTGGGCACCTGGTTCCTGCTGGTTCTGAAATGTGGCTTGGTTCTTTGACATGGGAACGGGGACACATGGTGTCAGAATGAGGCCACTGCAGTGCAGGGCTTGCTGCATATGGGTACCGGGGAGTTCCAGAAGTAAGGAGGCAGAGCAGCTTCTGCAGTGAACCATGCAGGAAAACCAAGAGGAGCTGGAAAACATCCAGTCCAGGTTAGATCAGGTCTAGAAGATGCAGACCAGACCAGACCAAACGAAAAGAGAAACAGTCCGTCCACACACGCAAACACACACACTGAGTATCTGAACTGAGGGGAGGTGCTAAGCCATGAGCAGATGGTGAGACATGATAATCAGTCCATGCCAAATCCAGGTGCCAGACCAGAAGTTGCGCATGGCTGGAGTGGGCTACCCCTGTTCAGGAGTTTCCGTGCAAATGCTAGAATTCTCAGAGCCAGCACGGGAGAGCTGGAGTGCCGGATGTTAGAGGAGAAGCTAGAGATGGTGGGCGTAGCCGAAGCCTGGTGGAATGGAGAGGATCAGCAAGATAAGGCTACCTCTGGATGTCAGGGACTCCTCCCAGTGGTAGCGGCCGTTGAGCATGGGGCACACATGGTCTCAAGTGGCCATTCAGGAAATTAAACCAGGATCTGCTGGCATGCGCAGCTTTTGCTCTGGCACTAAGCCTATGGATTCTCTGGGCCAGCCTGAACTGACATGCCGAGGAGCAATGCTCTTTGGAAGAAAGAGAAGTCCTAAGCGCCACCACAGCCCCTCTACGCTGCCTGCTCTGCAGGTCTCCCAAGTCCCACATTCCTTCGCCACCTTCTCCCCACACGTAACTCACAGTGGCTTAAGGAACATGTACTGTACCTGGCAGCCAAGGGTTAAAGAGCAACACAAATGTGCCAATATGCTGGAAAGGGCAAAGGAAGCTGTTCCTGACGCTCAACTGGTAGACTCCGATGATGGCATCTACGGGGCTCTGAATGGAGATGTCCAATTCGGTTGCAGTAGCAGAGGTCTGGACTGCACTCCAAGAGTAAGGCAAATGTGAGCTCGAGACACCAAACTCCACTCGCGTCATTTCCTGCAACTCAGAGGTTGACCCTGGGGAGGAAGAACAGACATGCAGGATGAGAAGGAGGCTTTCTGTGCACACAGAGGCCATGTTTTGAGCAGGCCCCAAGCCATGTCGAGATGGCCTGGCATTTCTGGATGCCCCTTTGCCTCGAGAGTGAGGGAGTCTCCCAGCCGCTGTGCACTGGCTTGGGGGAAGAGAAAGGAACGTGTTGTACATACCCGTCGCTACAGCAAATGTTAGGTAAGTTGCAGGAGGTGCTCCTCCTGGATATTTCAGGCTAATATTAAACTCTTGTCCTCGCCGGAACACATTCTCCGTGCCACGATATTGGTCGGTGTGGTGCATCGTGGCAACATCTCCCAGGTTCCAGGCCATGCTTGGTGAAGCTGTACAGGAGTGAGGGGGGAACGGAACTGCTAAGAAGACCGTGGCATTTCCCCTGTGGATTCAGTGTCCTTCTCCTTGTCTGTCTCAGCCCCTTTCCCACAGCCCTTGGAGGTTTTATCGGGAACCCTGCGTCTAATCTACATAAATGCCCTTCCCCTCTCCTGGCATGGCAGTGTGGTCCAGAGGCACCATGAACGTACATCCTGTCCTTCTCTCTTGCTTTCAGAAGACTCTGGAGCCACAGAAATCCTCCACCTAGGAAAGCGAAACCAAATGCATCGATGCAAGATGGGGAATACGTGGATCAACAGAACTGAAAACTTAAAAGACCTTGGAGTAATTGTGGACAACGGGGTAAACATGATCCAACAGTGTGATGTAGCCCCCAAAAGGTGAAATGCTATTTTGGGAAGCATCAACAGAAGTATTACTTCCAAATCACGAGAAGTAGCAGTTCCCCTACACTCCTCACTAGTCAGACCTCACCTGGAATACTGTGTCCAGTCCTGGGCACCAAGATTTAAGAAAGATGCAGGCAAATTAGAAAGGGTCCAGCGGAGGGCAACAGAAATGATGCAGGGTTTGGAGACACTGCCCTGTGGGGAGGGACTGAGAGAACTGGGCATGTTCAGCCTTGAGAAGAGAAGACTAAGGGGGGACATGAGATCTCTCTATAAGGGCCTCAAAGGCTGCCCCAAAGAGTAAGGTCAAGCTCACTGATGCCAGGCATGGACATGGAATGATCCATTTAAGTTGTGACACCCCAGATTCAGGCTGGACATAGGAAAAGCTTCCTCACTGTCAGAGCAATACGACAGTGGAACCAGCTGCCTGGAGAGGTGGTGGGCTCTCGCACGCAGGAGGCATTCAGGAAGAAACTGGACAGCCCTCTGAGTGGGATGGTGTAACATGGTGTCCTGCAACAGCAGGGGGCGGGACTGGATGGCCTTCATGGCCCCTTCCAGCTCTGCCATTCTGTGATTCTGTGAAATCCTTGCAGTCCTTTCCTGCATCCTGGCTCAGGCAATAAGTGGGGCCTTACTGCCTTCAGATCCTGCATAGTGCTTGGAAAGTCTACCCAAGAAGTGCTCTCAGTTCAGTGTGGCAGGCTACATCCATTTTCACGCATTTGTACCCGTGTCGTCACCCTGTGCAGAGCTCACCAAGTTCCACTATTATAATCATTCCCCAGCTGCAGAAGCACACCCTGCTTGCAAATCAGGAAGAATGTCCTGTTAGAGCTACATGGAAATGGAACCCATGACCTACGAGGCGTGAGCTCTCACAGTGCGGACATTCAAGATGCAGCTGGACAGCCATCTGAGAAGAATGGTGTCATGTGTAGTCCTTTATGGAGCAGGGGGTGGACCTGATGACCTTACTGGGTCCTTCCAACTCTACTACTCTGGGATTCTGGGATTATTTTGGAAAACTTACTCCTGGAGATATATTTCATATGATTAAGCTTGATTTGAATAAACCAGTTAGTGGGATGTGTGTGTGTGTGTGTGAAATCCTGAATATAAAAAAGTGGCATCAACAGCAATCTGCCCAAAACAAATAAAACATTGTGTAAAGATTGTATAAGGATTCAGCATATCAGTTTGATACATATGGACTTTGTACACCCATGTAGTGCGTATTTATAAAGTAATAGCCTATAATCAACAGCAGTGCTTATGCACTGGTATCACAAAAGGCAAGCTGATTGTCTTTGAATCAATCCATGCATCTAAATACCTCCATTCAAAGGAGGGAAGGGAGAAGGGATCCTAAATCCACTGTTTTATCAAGGGTGGCTGTTTATTCTCTCTGCACTGACATATCGGCCATTTAGCTGACGTAACAGTGCAGAAAATCCATATATATTGGCTTTGTATTAAATCCGTGGAGGTTGGTAGAGAGTGAAGTAGCGCATGTCCATCCATGCACATTTGAGAGCTTTTCATATAAATTTTGTTCATATTATAGCCTCTTCCCAAATGCAAGCAGATGCTGGGCATTGCCAAAGCAGGTGCAAGGAGTAAGCATTATTTCTATCACACCCCTAGCAATCAGCTGCCCAAACTTCACAGACTTCGCAGGGTTGAGCAGAATGATCTCGGGAGAAGAAGTTACCAAGCCTTTTCACATAAGCTTTGGCCACCATGCCTGCCAGATATGTTCTCGATGATGCTTGGTTTTTTAGTTGAGCAAACAGAACTTAAGTTTTAATGAGAGATAAACCACTATTCCTATGATACTTCTAAGCATCCTAATTGTATTTTGTCTCAAGGCCAGTTGGGTGTTGCGGCAGAGAGAGACCGGGGTAGAATCTGCAGAAACCATGCCAGAAGTCATTTGTTGGTCTAAGGCTGCCTTCCCCATTCTGCTGCCCTGCAGATGTTTAGGACTACACTGCTATGGGCTGTGCTGACTGAGGCTGATGGGAATTGAAGTCCAAGCCGACTGGAGAGCATAGGAGCAAGTTTCTCCTCTGGAAGGGAAAATGTGAGGGCTGATTCTTCACCCCCACCCATCTCCAGCCCTGCTTCCCCAAACCCCGGCAGCCAGCACAGCCCCGTGACAGCTGCTGGTACTCACATGCCATGATCCCCCACTTGGCTGCTTTTTGCGTCCCCTAAGCAGTTGGCTCCAACTGGATGAAGCAGGAGAGTTCTCAAGGCCTCTTATATAGGCCCAGAAGGCACCTCTTTCTCTTTTCCTAGAAGTGGGTGAGACTCACAGTCCCTAGAAGTTGCTCTGTTGACGCTTTCCTCTGATATAGGAGAGCAGAATTAGCACTTGGCATCTATTTACACTAGGGAAACTGAAAATAAAGACTGTGAGAAAACGTTCTTCTGGGGAATGACTTCTGGGGAAGAAGTCAAGGAGCTTGCACAACCATTGATAACATCTTCCTTATTGCTTACGCAGGATGCCGTTTGTGATTCATTTTTAACTCTCTGGAGCAGGTTGCTGAAAGGGAGGCTCTGGATGTGTGTCACCATAAAGCCAGCATTTCCTGGTGGGGTTGCTGTCGGGTTGATGGTCCAAGGGTATGAAATCAATTAGAGGCTTGGCTGCTGCTTGTTTCAGTTCATCCAGATGTCTCAATATTCCTTCTTGCTCACCATTTGGTAAAGCTTCAAAGGAGTTAATTAGTCCTGTGTCTAGACTCTAGACTTCTCTAGAATTTAGAGTGTCATCAGTGCCAGGTTTTCCTTGATTGAGCAAAAATTTGTCAAGGACGCTGAGAGTGCTAAGTTGCTATGGTTTCTATCATTTGGCACACTGCCCATAGCACAAGGTAAAGGCGTATCCGCTTGAGAAGTTGGGCCAAAGAGAGCATTAATTTTTCCCTCTTGGAAGACACAGGGTGGATATATTTGAAAAGTGAAAGAAAGTGTTTCATTGTATGCGGCATACAGAGGATGATGAACAGCAGAATTCGCTTGTGTCCTTTCATACTAGGGAGCCACTCAACAGCGCATAGGTTGATCATATAGCTTGGACATCGAAGAAGAAAGCTAAGTGACAGTATAATAGCTCTTCTAGTTGACCAGCGTCCAATGTTAGGTCTGTTGAGTGTAATCCTTAGAGCAACCTGATGTGTTTGAAGGGTACAGCTGAACTTATTCAAGTTTAACTCTTTGGTGAGAGGTGGAACTACAAGCACTGCCTCTGTTTGGTCACACTTTCTGATCATAGTTTATTTCTTCTGAGCAATTTTGCTTTCTTTGTTTGTCCACAAACAAGTCTGTATGACTTTGCACAAAAGTTTCAGAGACCGTTTTTAAAGAGTCCACCTTTGTGTTTATAGATGTTTAATGTTCGAAAATTGAGATTACTATTAGTGCAGTTAGTAAGCATTGTTTGGCTGTGAAGCCTGTTGTGAATTCTGTTGGTGATTGTTTGCCTTGTTCATCCCCTATCAAAGATGTGTTAGGATCAGAGGAGAGTAATGCAGGCAAAGGTTCAGTCAAATGATTAGATTCTTCTTGCAAAGTAGAGGACATGCAATAGTTGTCGCTTTTCAATTTCTCTTTCCAAGTCCCAGTTCAGTATTTAATAACTGTTAGAGGTGGAGATAGAGTAAGGAGGAATTGCTTTGTAGTTATTGTTAATCGCAGTCTTCTCGTTTATCATGTAGTCATCATGTTCTGGCTGTTTTGTTGGTTTGGGTAGAGTATGAAAGCCTGCGCTTGTCCTGTTGCATTTCTTACTTCTTCCCCATTGCTTGCTTCGGTGTCAGCGTGTCTCCACTGAAGCTTGTAAGATCTTTCAGGAACTTGCGGCTCCCTTATGCGGTGTCTCTATGGGAGACTTATTTATAAAATAAAGGTGGGTAAAAATTAAAATATGTAGCTAGGCGAGTTATAAAAATAGGTGAAACAATTACCAGGAGGAGCTCAGCAGAGAAAGAGAAGCTGATGCTTGCTTGCCATCTTGGCTTTGCCCTCCATTTTCTGATGGGGAACAATTGACTGTGCACCCCACTCTCCAGGTCTCCCCCAAGGCATTCCTGAGGCACACGAGAGCCGGCTGTCTCCAAGCAGTGTGGGGCGGCGGCTGGAGCTTCCAGTGTGTGGTTGCTCCTGCCATAGGTCACCTCTAGGGATGGGCGACTGGCCAAGATTCTCTGAACGTCATGTTGACAGCAAGAGGGGCGGAGTGCTTGGGTAGCTGGCCACATTCCATGCTGTTTCAGAGTTGGAAGATGAGGAAGGTTTCAGTGCGATTGGGGAGGATGAGCTCCGTCGGGGTTCTGAGACGCAGCAGGAGGAGGAAAAAGTGATTATCTCAAGGTCAAGTGCTTCCTGGGAAGGCCCAGGGAGTGGTACAGCCAATGGGAGGGGTCTCTGAGGATGAGGAATCCTCTGATGCAGGCCGCCCCCCCCCCCCACTGCTCTCAACCCCATGGTGAGGTGTCAACAGAGGTGGGAGGCCCTATTGAATGAGTAGCACATGGAGAGGAGGCATGTGGGGGACCAGGCAAGCTCATAAGGAAAGTTCCTGGAGGTAGTCACTAGATCGTGCTCAGCAAATCACTCTGTGCATACTCAGAGATCTGTTCTGGCTGATTTGTCCTTAAAAGCACTAAAGAAATTGCAAAGAAATTGGCCTGCAGTTGGTGATTGCTGGAAGGAGGAACCTCAGCTCCTGATACATCTGCTCATAGCTGATCTCTTCTCAGTTTGCACTTGAATATGCAGGCACTGTTCATTTTCCACAATTAGGAAAATTGTGAATGTGCTCATTGCACATTTCAAATGTGAACGTTGCAATGAATATTCCCAACATTTCATAGATTTCCCAAAAGGCACAATCTTCTCCCCTTAAGCAAGGCATTGGTGATTTAGAAGTTATCCATTTTGAGAAAGTTGGACACACTTTGAGTATCTATGTTGCAAATGAAAGTTTGAACACTGGCAAAAATTTCAGAGAAACATTGGGCCTGTTTACGTTCAAGATTGGGAAAAGGCAGATTATTTCTGAACTTTAACAACATTCTCATTTATCCCAAGTCAGCTTTTACTGGAAACTACTGCCAAACCTAACTCAAGGACTGAATGGAAATGCTGTTTAGTTCCACTTCAGATTTCACTGGAATATTCTCTTTTGACCCAGTACTAATTGCAAGGTATCTGTTCTGCTGGAAATCCTGATAACTGACGTGCTATGGAACTAAATAGGTGGCAATAAAACACTCAGCTTCAGATAGTCCTGAGTTAATTATCATAGTTAAGTCTTAGTAGATAGGCAGAAGATTGGTCAGGCAGTCCAAGAAAATGGAGCACAATCTCAAGTCTGGCTTCAGCACCGTGAGAAGCAATCCAAGGATCCTCAGAAGGACATTTATGAAAAAGCATGTGAGAACCCAGGCCAGATGAGTGTCAATTACCATATCTAAGAAAGCTGAATTTAAAATCGAAGAAGTTAAGAGAGATGTGAGAGGTAGATATTTGATATTACAAGGTGAAATGAGAGAAGATTATATATTAATATTTACTCACCAAATGTTGACCAGAAACACTTTCTAAAAACTGTTCTGCATGAGTTAGAAAGTATCAGGAAAGGATTTGTAATAATGGCAGGGGATTTTAATATCGTAAAGGATGAAAAGAAGGATAGATTAAATCCTACTAAAAAAGAAGAAAAAAAAGACATAGCATTACATTATTAAATAAAATGATAAATGATACTGACTTAAAAGATGTATGGAGAGAATTGAAGGGGGATGAAAAAAGATTTACTTTTTACTCATTGGTTCATAAATCTTACTCTAGGATTGATTATATATTTCTATCAAAGGACTTGTTTTCCAGGCTAACTCAGATATAGGTTTGATAAGAATTACAGATCATGCATTTATAAATATGAATTTCAAAATTAATTGTGATTACAAAGCAGTTAGAAGATGGGAGCACGGATTCAAGCATTTTGCAGCATAAGCATATAAAAAATAAAATAGAGAACTGAAAGAAATATGATAAAGAAGGAAGTTTAGTATGGATACAGTGAAGGCTGTTGAAAGGGACGTAAGTATTAGGGAAGCTTGTAGTTTTAAAAGCAAAAAGTTAAATATGTGCAAAATCTGGAAAATGAAATAAAAGATTTGGAGAAGAAACATATAAATGATAAAATCATTAAAATTTTGGTAGAAACACAAGCTAAAAGGAAAGAGTTGCATAATATTGAAGTAGAAAGAATACAGAGAAATTGAACTAGAAGAGGGAATTCCTTGAATTAAGTTATACGAATTCAAGGATGCTAACTACAGCTATGCAACAAAAAGAATTAAAACTCTAATAGGAATAGTTACAGATTAAAATGGTAAAATGCAATTTAACAAAAGAAAAGAAAGATATTGTATAGATTTTATTCGGTTATATGCAGCTGGGAAATTATCGATGGATAATACATATATGTTGGGAATAAATTGCAGCAGATAGATAGGGATCTAATGGAACAGCCTGTTAGAAAAAAAGAGAAGAAGGTTGCTGGTCATGCAATCGTCATGCTGCAAGGGTTCTCGGACTTCCTCTCGGCTCAGCTCAGTATCAAAAACAGGGCCGAGCATCTCCTGCAATGGTGCTCATTCCAGGTAGTTAGTGGTGGCTGCATACCAAGATGGTGGAAGCCATGAGCCTGGGTTCGCACTCTTTGATAAGCCATGGTGGTGCAGAGAAACCATAAACAAGCCACTGTTTCCTACACTAGTTTGTGAAGACCAAACTTACCATGATGAAACACCATGACTGGGTTCTGACAACACAGCAGGCCAATGGTGGCAAAAAGCAAAACAATGCAACACAATGCAAAGCAACAGCTCAACACAACCCCATGCCTAGGTGCATTGTCTGATTCCCGCCTATGTGCCTAGACACTGTTGTTGACAGGGAAGACATGTGTGAGGCCACTACTGTGGCCATGTCTTACTTGAGAGTCTCAGAGGCAACCGGTTGGCCACTGTGGGAACTTAATTCTGGATGAGTTTGACCTTTCTTCTGTTGCAGCATGATACTTCTGATGACCCGCCCTTCTCCTCAAAATCCTAGCTCTGGTTTGCTCTTGGAAGGAAGTTCACTATTTTACTTCCCCACAGAGCCTGACCTCAGCTTCTCCTTCAGAGCATGTCTGAAACACGCTGCTACTTCCTTCCTTTCAGAGATGCTTCCTCTTTTGAAATGAAATATGGCCGTGTTGGTCTCCTTTAGCAATCTCCCGCTTAGATTGACATTAAATTTGACAGCACTATCACCACAATGCACAA